TAGATTGGATCGGATCAGATTTGAAAAAAAAATCCAAACCGAATGGATGATTACATTATCAAACCGAAGGAATTAGATCGGATGAATTTTGCTTCCAAAACCGATCCAATCCAGACCGCGAACACCCCTAGTTATACCGAAGGTTTTCTACCTAGGAGGAGCTTTTTTTAAGTTGTATTAGCTTCTTCTTTTTTTTAAATTAGCAGTTTTTAAGTAACTTAAAATAAAAATTTTATATAATCATTAAACAACTTTTAACTTTATTTTTAATTTTTTTTTCTCTTTTTTCCGATTTTGATCGTGTGTGTGATTGTGTCGATTTCAACACCACACACACATATAATTATGATACTAAAATTTGATTTTATAATGTCATGTAAATTAATTAAGTCTCTTGCCACTAACTCACTTTTAGTGATTTATATATCTTTTACTTTTGATGCATGGGCTTAGAGATGATGCAAAAGCGTGAATTAATGGATAAGAAGGACATTACAATTATCAAGTATCTAATTTTTAATGCTAAAAATATTGACAGTCTTGAAGTTGGAAAGCGAACAGAAGTATATCACTCTTACGATTTCTTTTGCGGATAGCATGCTCCATTTTGGAGCAAATAATGGCAAAGAACAAGACATATCTAATCTTGCTTTTTTTTATAACTACTCCGGCCACAACATTATTATACAAACGCTCCTCTCTCTCTCTCTCTCGTCTTCTCAACTAGATTGTAAAAATAAAAAAGAATAATTAGTCTATGGTGTATTCAACCGAATCCATTGAATTGGTCATCAATTAATAAAGTAGTAGAGATGTCAAAAGGACCATTTAAGTGAGTGGCAATATATATATCTTCTAGCAATATGAATGAACAAATTCAATAACCACATAAAAAGGATGGCTTCGTCTAATCAAATGAGTTCAACAAAGATGAAATGGTAAAAGTGATTGTAATACTCACGTTACTGGTTCTGGCCTCTGGGATACAACTTTGCTTTTCTTTATGTCAAACTTCAAAACATATATGAGGAACCAGTGCCTTTGGAGATTTGTGATTGTAATACACGATGAACAGTTGTAAAGATTGTCAATAGAGGTGATACAGTCATAATTTTTTTTTTTTTTTTTGATATCAACCCTAATTACCTCTTTGAGGTAAGTAAATTCTCTAGGGTATTCTCACAAGTTTCGGCTCTTCGGCTATGGAACTAATCTCAAAACAATAAAAATATAAGGAAGCTTCATCCATGAACCAATAAAAATATTATGACTATAATTTAAACCATTAACAAATAATTAGTAGAAAGTTTAATATCATCGCCAAGAAAAAAAAGAAAGTTTATATAATTTGCTAGCTGGTACAAAATAATGTTCATCTGAGACCACGTAGCTTGTGTATTTTTTAATGTACTCACCCCCATTGTAGTAAAGAAAAGATTGATTGGTTCACATAAACAAAAAGTTTAATAAGAAAATTCAAGAAACATGAATTATTTGACAGCCAAAACCATCCGTGATGCTACTTGAGGATGAAAACAAATAAGCTCAAGTACACCAACTCAGGTGTGTTTAACTCACTGATTTCACTAAACCAAGAGAGGATTAAAGACTTGGGTAACCCAAAAAGTACTTCCACGACTCCACATTTCTAGTCATTGATTGATTTGACTGTAACATGGTGCTGTGGAAGCCTTTGAGGGTTACTAAAAACTTTCTCCTTTCAAATCCCTTACACAAGCCATGCTAAGATTACGAACAAGGAATGCCTATTTATACATAGATGACACATTGATTCCCTCATCCCACAATTAATTGAAATAAGACAACTAATTAACATTCACATTTTCTTTTTCTCTCTGCTTAGAGTTTGATTCACCAAATTTTAGATAAGGTTACTTTATTGATCTCGAATAGTTAGAATTTATTCCTAACGAACTTGCCTTTTTTCAGTGTCCAAGTGTCAATGCTTTGCTTTGCTTAAAGAGTATGCTGCAGAAACAACTAAGATTCAATGTAGAGAACGCTGATTATGAAGGCATTCCATGTGCAATAATCTCTCTAATTTCAAAGCCATTTTAATGGAAGGAATGTGACTGCCAAAAATGCTATTAATAGTGCGTTGACATTCTAGTATGCATTGTTATTATCCAATAATAAAACAGCATCATATCGACATATATAGCTTTGGGGTTGACTCTTTTCATGCAGAATAAGTTATCCATAACAAGCTAGCTCCACATGTTATATTCTACAAAGATCATTACTTTTCTAAGTTTATTGAACTATAAACATGTCATTTTAACTCTTGTAGTAATTCCATGAAATCTAGTCTAATTATTGTTATTATTATCAAATCTAATATATTATTATAAATATTATATAAAGTAAGGATTTAGCCTATGACTTGTATATCATGTGTTATTTTGCGGTTTTTTTATTTTTCTTTCAAAATGATAACTTCTTTCATAAGTTATAAATGTTACTATCAATTAATCCACTTTTTTTGGTATAACTGGCTTATAATAACACACTTAATTTCATTTATACCTTTGATGGTATCTATCTTTAATATATGTATTTACACATGTTTCATTTATTTGTAATTTGTTTTGGATACTTTTTTTTTTAACTATGAAATTTGAATTTCAAATGTTTGCCTATATCACCATTGATCTTAATTATTTGCCTCTAAATGCTTTTTACCAATATTATAAAAACTGGAATGGTGGTTAACCCGGTTGAGGTACTGGATCAGTGAGTCACTGATTCAACCGGTAAGTTACTAATGAACTGTTTGATTTGAATTTATAAAAAAAAAAATAATAAATATTATTATAGTCACAAAGTATTCCAAATAAAGCATTGACATAGTGATTGGTTTCTCTTACTTAGTGCTTGGGGCTGGTTCGAGTCTTGGTAGCACCACACATTCGGTAAAATGATTTTTGAAAAACACCAAATTGGTTCAACCGGTCCGGGTTTCAACAGTTAAACCCAGGTCGTAGACGGGTAGAATTCTTAATCATGTTTCATTCTATACAGAGTAAATACCCTTTGGGGTCCCTAACAAAAAATACGGTCTCCACTTTAGTTCCTTACAAAAAAAAATTAGTCTCGAGGTCCCTAACAAATTCAAAGTGAACCCATTTTAATCCTTTTGAGGAACTAATATGGGTCTTTTTTGAATTTGTGAGGGATCACGATTTTAACTAAATGGGTCCACTTTAAATTTGTTAGGGACCTCTAGAGTAATTTATTTTTGTAAGGGACTAAAATGGGTACCGTGTTTTTTGTTAGGGACCAAAAAAAGTATTTACTCTCTTATATATTTAATAATTGTAAGTGATATACGGACATTAATCTAGTTTTTCTATAATTTTAAGGGTCTAATATACATTAGGAAAACTTCCACTAACCCCACCAAACAAAGTCCTTGACAGTTGACATATCAGAAACTAAGAGAGAATCAATCTGAAGGGAATATCATTCTAAACCATCCAATTCTCATCTTGCTTGGAATTCCACGTATCCAACAAAAAAAAAAAATCATATCCATTTTTCATTAATAAAAAAAATCTAATAAGTAATAACCCATTTTTGTAGAGAGCTAACTTCACCATAATATTCCTGGCTCAAACATAATTGCTTCCTGTGAAAATATATGTGATTTGTCCAAATAATAATAACCCATTCTTGTTGAGGTTACAATCTGATATTCACAATAACGACACCATCTTTATGGGTCTCTATTCTCCACTTCTGCATGCTCAACCAAGTAAGAATAGCTTTTTTTGATATAGACTTAACCTCAATGGCGGAGTCACGTTGAGACCAGCTGGAGCCTTGACATTGTCTGATTTTAAAAATATTACATTTTTAAAAAAATATTATGATACAGCCTTGTACTGGCTAAGTTTTTTGGCATGGACTTAAACTATTTTCTAGCTATGCCACTGTTCAATCTCATGTATAGGTTATTTTTTTGAAACTACCTTAGTTGTTGGGCCAAAGTTATTGTTAAAATAAATAAAAATAAAAAACTTTAAAAAGTAATTATTTCTCCTGTATAATCATTTTCCTTGTTCATGCAAATAGAATAAATTTTCCTTGTTGATGCAAATTTTTCATTGTCTTACTTGAGAAAATACAACTTAAAAGAAAGCTTTTTCTAAGACTTAAAAAGAAAAATTAAGAAGTAGCCTTTGAAACTGTATTCCGAGAACAAAATGATTGGAGGAGGTTGAATAAGAATGCCTCCAGATTCATTCCAAAAAAAAAAAAAAATCAATATATATATATAAAGATGGAGTTAAAAAAAATTTATAAAACTATCATAAAAAATACTTGCATAAAATGAAAATACAAATTATAATAATATTTTTCTTTATTTTTTATTTTATATAAACAGCTTAAATGTAAATGTTAAGTTTTGAATATTAACTTAAATCAAAATGCATACAAATGTTGAATACAAATGTTAAATTTTGAATATTTTCAACGACAAAAATGCATACAAATGTTAAGATTAAAAGCCGAAACACAATGGGCTCATATCATATAGTTATCAAATTTTGAATAAATCTTTTATCTCACTTTATAAAATTAGAGTTATGTTTAAATTAATTTATTTTATACTTAAAAAATTCTATTAAAATACTTTTTGAAACATTTGGGCTATAAAATTTTAAAATTAAAAAAAGTTAATTTAAATAGATATTATGTATTTATCTATCAAATCAGAAACTCATAACGTTACATGAAGTTGAATACAGAACACTAGCACAGGGTATAAAGAGTAACTTGTATGGTTTAATCAGAGACGAAAATTGGAAGGAAAAGAAAAGGTGGAACAATAGCTGCAGTGTCAAAGGCTTTTTGTCTTTTAAGATGGGAATTGATCCTCTCATGCTAAAAGGTGGAACAATAGCTGCAGTGTCTATGTCTCTTTATAAATTTTCATAAATTTTTATTGTATCCCACCTATTTCATGCCAATGAAAAGAGATATAGATATCAAATTTTCAAATATACATTAGGAAGCACCAAAATAGGCTGCAAAGAATGAAACCATGGGAGTAACATTAAGGGAACAAACTCCCAGTAGAAAAAAATTTCTAGAACTAAAAATCAATATACAAAGCATAAAAAGAGAAAGAGTCAAGCTCTATGCAGCATGGAACAGCTTGGCTACAAATTTCTCAACCTGCAAACATAAAGGCACAGGAGATATTAAGAATGTATGATATTTGTATTACAACTAGTATACTGCCAATTAGTATGAAATTTGGGAGGAATACATCCAGCTGATTAGTTAATTCCTTGCAATATGAAACATGATTAAATGTATTTTGTAACAGAAATTGTATATTTACCTCATGATAATATGACCAGTCCAAGGTACAAAGATCCGCCAAGAAATGCAAATGAAATCATTCCCCTGAAATTGGAATTACATATACATAAATATCATTAATGACAATATAATAATGACATAAGTGATAAAGCATATATTATTCTTGCCATCCAGCGGCTCGTTCATGCACTTCTTTTCCTTGTGCTATAACTCATTATTTAACCATCTCAATAATCAATCTTGTGAAGCTTGAAGAAATTTATAAATTTTCATTCAAATCTAACAAAAAACTAAACAATCAGGGTGGCAAAATGAGAACAAGTTTCATAAACAAAAGGTTATTATTTACTAGAGCATAATTTGTAACAAAAATAGTCTAAATTTCAATCCTATAAAACCATTAACTTTCAGTCCAAAATAAAAGAATCTTCTTTGCGTTTAAGTGTGTTTCTACTTTCCATACAGCAAAACTCACCAAATAACTCCCCATCCCACACCATTACAGGGGCACGGGCAAACTTCTGCAAACTTCTCAGCATCACTGGAGTTGACTCTTCGAGATATTAAATCGTCATAAATATCTACATTATATGAATTTCAATCATATAATATAAGCCATGTCAGTAGATTTGTTATCTGAAGTGAAAATAAACCATAAAAAAGGTGCTTGAAAGCATACCATAAACTGAAAACAAACTGTTCATCACACCTGAAAACCAAATCATAGTTAGTTTCCTATATATTTCACAAAAAATGACAAACTGTCTACCAGAAACAAATTCAAATTATTTATAGGAAACAGATGAAGAGGACAAGAACATACCAATAAACAGAATGACATAGCGAAGGATATGGACTTTTGTTTTCTCTTGTAGAAGCCAAATTACAGCAATAAAAACAATAAATCCTGATAGTCATTGATCATGAAGAATAATGTGAGAAATCTTGTCAATGTCTTCTTTGCTTTTATCCATTTTATTTTTGAAGATAGTAAAATCACTCACCAATACAGAGTCCTCGGAGTGTCCACTATTTTGACAAAAGCATGTAGCAAGACATAGGAAAGGGGAGAAAAGTCAGGACACAAATAGATTCAATAGATTTGATAGAAAAGATTTTTATTTCTGCATCTATAACCATCTTACATTTTTAGCAATAAAGAGCACAACAAAAAGAGCAACAATGAAGCAACCAGCAGCAATTCTTGCCGTGATAAGATTTGTGGAAGCAAGTATCAAAGCCATTCCCCAAAATGATGAACCAAGATCTAGAGGAAAAACCAATCAGAAAAATGGTAAAATGCAACTGAAAAGTGCTCTTATTAAATTCAAATCATATGCATTAAAAATTTTAGGTGTGTGCGTGTCTATTCAAGGTATAGAATATTAACATATTTATACATCTCATTATTTGCTGCACATGTATGCAAATTCACATCAAAACCATAGCATGTGTGCTGCTGTTAGTTTCATAAGATTGCTATGCATAAAACCCTGATTATAAATTAACTTCAAAAGATTTAACCCATTGCATACCTTGTTTATACACCATATAATTAAAAACATCAAGTAGCATCCAAGTAAAAATTAATGCGATAACTGAAAATTTAGGGAGAAAAGTGCATTACATCCAGCCGGCAAGATCACCCAGTATAGGCCACCACGTGTCTGTGTTAACCCACCCTCATTTGCATGAACCTGGATTCCCTCCACCTATTGGCATCAAAATAACAATGATTTAACATGTAGAAAACAGAAATAAGTATAAAGAAGCTTACAGCAGAATCAAACTTCTAAAATTTCTCAGCCTTAATATAATAAGGCCACCATGGTCCTGCCAGCAGTAAAAAAAAGTATAAAGCTAATCCATTGTTGACTATATTGGTAACGATATTTTATACAACCTCACATCATTGAAACATGCAGCATTGATGCATAGGAATTCAGGATTTAGGAAGAATTGACTTGATATTAATAAAGTACGCAACATCTTAACTTGCAATACTGAAATAACAATGAATCGCCTTAAAAGCCTTAAATCTATCGAATCCATAATTTGTAAGCTAGAACAGTGAAATTGCTAGTGCTGTAATATCAGAAAAACAATTAAAAATAACAGAGATAAAAAAATAAAAATAAAAAGCCTCTCAGGATGATTGCAAGCCATGGTTTACCCAAAGAAAGGAAGGCAAAACAATCTTAAAGAACAGCATTAAATTCTTATCATGATATACAACTGTGTTTCTTTTCTTTTCTTTTTTCCCTTTATTCATTCATAAAAGTTATTATGATCTCAAGGCATAACCTTGAGAAAATCAGAAGCATGCCCTTCTATCCCTGGTGGTTAAATCAAAACTTCCATAAGCCTCAAATAGAGCATCCTTTTCTAAGTCAAAAAGATTAAAATACTTCTATAACGTCCTCCTTTCAAAACCAAAATTATGTTGGCTCCTACTTTACACAAATGCAATTTAATTACTTAGCAGACAGTTTATTAGTTTATTGTTGTTCTAATGCTTCTATTATATCCATAAACGAGACAAGACAATCACACTAGGAGAAACCGTGTGTAATGATTTAACAGCTTTACTTTAAATAGTCTACCTAACTACCGAAGAGCATTCAAGTGACTAAGATCATCCTTGATAAGCAGCTCATTTGGTGAGCTAAATTTACCATCTTAATCAGCCCGTGCCTGCTAATAACTTTTAGTTGGTGAAATGAAAGATATCTCGTGTTGGAAATGCAACAAAATAAAATAGATCATTAGATGAATTTTCAATGCTATCTCCATTCAAATTAAGTTGCTAGTGGCTACATGTTTGATGATATATATTGGCCTCAGAAATTCTTGGATTTTTTGCAACACTATATTGTAAACCATAACTCATATCTGTATTTTCATGTAATTCAGGGCATAGAATACAAGCTGAAACTTGTAAAACATGGTAAAGGAAAAAAAATTCTTCAAAAGTTGTCTACTTGTATCATCAAAGAACATTAAGCTCCTACATTTACAGGTTTACCTTGCCACAAGTGAGCTTGCAAGCAATTGCATGACTCGCTTCATGCAGAAACACAGTGATGAGCTTAAAAGGTGTAAGTAGAAAAGTCCTCCATAGCTATAACCACCACAACAAATTATTTGCGTAAGAAAATCAGTTGTAAGCCACTGCGACGAATATAAATATCTACATGACATCAATATCAAAGGTTATTAAATCCATGTAAATATCTGGGAACTTCTCTGTTTTAACCAATAACAATTTAATATGATGTAGCATATAGATGTATAGTATATGATCATAAACTAAGGACCTGCTTTTGGAAAGATCCATTGTCAAATGTCAAGTAAATCCAGTTGCTCAGGCTTACTCAAGAACCTAAGTTTGATCCAGTCAAAACTAGTTTGAGAAATAAGTCACACGAAAAAAAAAAAAAAAAAAAAAACATCTTAGATTCTCTTGCTATTCTGCCATACGATTCTCTCAAGAAAACCTTTCCCCGTGGCAAAATTTATGGGTTTCAGGGCAAATGAACAACTAGTACTAGCTAGGAATATTCTACATGGCAACATCATTTGTGGAACTCCAAATTCTTAAACCCCATTCCTCATTTACCAATATTAGAAAGCAACTGTTTTCTCTCAGCATTTCTTTCCTTCTATTATGTAAGATTTCAATCGTTTCCATGTTCAATTTATAATAGTCATCAAAATAAAATAAAAAAAGCAAAATTACCTAAAAAGTGTGTAGTTACATTTCAAAAGAGAGAGAGAGAGAGGAGTGAAAATTAATTATGATTGACTTATTATCTAAAGCATCTGACTGTGACAACCATGGATATACTTTTGAATTTAGAAGAAACAATAACTATAATCCTAATTCCTAAAGTGGGGTTTTTTCCTTTCTGAAAAGAAGTAAGAAAAGTGGGTTTGAGAGAGAGAGAGAGAGAGAGAGAAAGAAAAAATGATACCAGGAGGATTACTACGGTGAAGGCAGCAACACAAGCAATGAAGACCTTCTGGTCGTGATCACAACAGTTCTTGAGTTCCCAGTTCGGCATTGCTGTTCTGATAAAAAAACCCAAAGATGAAAAGGATTCAACTTTGAAGGAGGAGAATGGTGTTGTGTTTTGATTCTCAAGGAAACGTTTGGTGGGGTGGGAAAGCTGAAATGACAGAAAGACAATTTATAAATAAAGTAAAACAAAACAATTAAGAAAACAACAAAATACGGTAAAGCCAATGTATCGGGTAGATTCCTGCGATGACTTGGCTTAGTGTCCAACGCGTAAAGTCAACCACGTCAATGGATTTTTATGATTGGGTGAACATTTGAATAGTTGAATGTTCATCACTTCTTCTAACGCAATCTTCAAAATAACGTTGTTACAAGATAAGAGAGAGACCAGATGTGGTACTTTAAGAGAATACATTTACATTGAATTTAATTTATACTATTTTGTGATTTGAACTCACTAAAATTTAAGGTCTGTTTGGTGTTTGGTGTGATGTATAAGGCCTGATAGTATAAGCTTATACTATACGTTATGACATTTTTAGTTGTTTGGTGTGACCATCGTATAATATAAACTTATACAGCAGGACCCATTTATACATCAAAATGATGTATAACTTAATCCGGCCTAGGAGTTGTGGATTAGGCATGATAAGGGGTTAATGTAATAATATTGCTTACAAGTACAATTCCCAAGAACTAATATATCATTTCAACATTTATATATTAAAATAAATTTTTTTAATATATTAATTTTTAAAATATTGGAGGATATTATCTTATACAATATCATACCAAACGCTGGATAGTATTAAAATTTAATCAGGTCTTATACAATCAGGCATTATCCTATACTATGCACCAAACATGCTCTTTATTTATGTATTTTAGAAATAAACTCACCTTAAAAAAGTCTTATTTTAACCTTAATTAATGGTAAAATCTATCACTTGAAATATCTTTCTCCTATAGTAATTGAAATATTTTTATATATGTAAAAATGTTTTAGCTATTTCCTGTGTAAAACTTTTGCATCGTTATGTACTAAATAAAACACTTCTATTTGTCATTTGATCCTCTCATATCTATCTAGTTGAGTTTTCTTGCTTCCCTGTTCTTTAGATATAGACACAGTCACACAGTCACCATTCAAGATCTTTGTCTGTGTCTCAAAAGCGACCCGGTCCAAATTTCCCTCACATGTAGTTTTATAAAGTAGGGCCTTTTTGGTTAGCTTTTTCAATATGCAATTTACTTGCTTTTTTGTTTGATCATAAAGAAATATTTTCAACTCTTTTCTCCTCATAAACTAATTCTTGTTTAGCTTCTACATTCGCATTCAATTTATCGAAGTTTTGATTATCTGAACTCGTGGAATCATATAAGTTAAAGTAGAATTTCTCTACAGGCAAAATAGTGCCTAGTCAATAAACTGAGTGAAAATATCTAAAAATATTATTGAACTTCGCTTAAACTTGCAACTTGAGCAATGAAATTAGCCCAAATGGGAGAATATTAAAAAAAAATATGTGGGCAATATAAATTAATTAATTTTTTGTTTTAAAATTAATCGGGTTAATAGATATTTCAATTATATTATTTTGACTAGCCCATTGTGATCATATTAAGTTGGGCTTATGAAATCTGTTAATATTGGGTCTAGTTGGACAGTAACGTAGGCTTTAGTTTGACCCTAGTTTTCCACGATAGATGGACCCAGTGGACACAAACTCTTTTCGGGGTATTTGGCTAGATCCCCTCTCTAGCCTATTTATATTGGGGTAAAATCCTATGAACCGTTATGCTCTCATCGTTGAGGCTGCCATTTTCGGAATAGGTCATAGAGATGAAGATATTGGCATGTTGTCCCTTCTTTCCTGCGACTTTATGATGGTCCAACAAGGTACGCACAATCCCAATTTTAATTTCATATTGTTTGGTATTTTGTAATCATATACGTGATTAAAATCGTGGGCACGTAAAATGATCTCTTAGTTATTAACTCGATAGAATCATTTTCAAAATAAAATGATTTTCAAAATAATATTAAATTAATTAATATAGCCCAAGTGTGAGAATATTAGAAAATTTTCTTTATATGGGCAATATAAATTAATTATTTTTCTATTTTTAAAATTAATTAGGTTAATGGATATTCCAATTGTATTATTTTGACTAGCCCATTGTGATCATATTGAGTTGTGCTTATGGCATCTGTTAGTATTGAGCCTAGTTGGGTAGCAATGTATGTTTTAGTTTGATCCTAGTTTTTCATGATGGATAGACCTAGTGGACACAAACTATTTTCAGGATATTTGGCTAGATCCCTTCTCTAGCCTATTTATATTGGGGTAAAATCCTATGAGCCGTCGTGCTCTCATCGTTGAGGCTACCATTTTCGGAATAGGTCATAGAGATGAAGATTTTAGCATGTTGTCCCTTCTTTCTTGCGACTTTATGATGGTCTAACATGGTACACACAATTTCAATTTTAATTTCATATTGTTTGGTATTTGGTAATCATATACATGATTAAGAATTTTTAAATCTTTCAAAATAATCATTTTAACAAGTAATAAGTAATAACTCATTATTATAGAAAGCTAGTTTCACCTTAATATGAATATTCTCGGTTAGAACATAATTGCACCTCTGCATGCTCAACCCAATATGTGATTTATCCCACACACAAAAACAAACAAACCATTCTTGTGTAAGTTACAATTTGATATTCAGAAGAATGCACCATCTTTATGGGTCTCCATATCTCCACCTCTGCATGCTCAACCAAGTAAGAATAGCTTGTTTTAAGATAGACTCAACCAGCAGAGTCCTATGGAGACCAATTGGGACCTTCACGTTGGCAGGTTTTCAAAATTGTTAATAGTTTTTTTTTTTTTTTTTTAAAAAAAGAATTGTGGTAAGTTCTGTCATGGCTGGGTTTTACTTGACTGGATTTTTAGATACGAACTAAAATTATTTTCTTATTATTTCCCGGCTCCGTTACTCTCGTGTGTAAGGAAATTTCTACAATATTACTTGATGTTATTTTCTTATTTTTGGTTTCTCATTTAGGATATTTATTTTGATGTTATGTTACTTGGTCTTTCTTGTAATAAGCTTGTAGCATAGTCAAGGGGAAACCACGGCTGCTCACCAACTGTTAAATGAAATGTCTGAGAGGGATCTTGATGTTGATGTCCTGGTCAGCTCAGTTGTCTTTGCCGATGATAATTCCGGCACTGTTTAGAAGTTCCTCTTGAGGGGGAGCACTGTCCATGTTGCTGATGGTCATTCCAGCACAATTGTCTTTGCCGATGATAATTCCGGCACTGTTTAGAAGTTTCTCTTGAGGGGGAGCACTGTCCATGTTGCTGATGGTCATTCCAACACAATTAATTGTCTTTGCCGATGATAATTCCGGCACTGTTTAGAAGTTCCTCTTTAGGGGGAGCACCGTCCATGTTGCTGATGGTCATTCCAGCACAATTGTCTTTGCCGATGATCATTCCGGCATCTTCCATGTTGATGTTAATTTCGACGCCATTTTTAGCACATTGTTGTTTTTGGTTCCTAATGGGAGTATTATTTATGTATCAAGCTTGTAGCATATGATCTATATGCTACAGCTTGAGGGGGAGTGTTAAGAGTGTTAGTGTTAATAGTGTAGAAGTCCCACATTGAGTGTGTCTCTTTGTATTCTTCAATTGGTTTGCTATATAATAGCACCAATGTTGTGTAGTTTAATATAACAAGGATTACTATCATTTCCTCTTGTATCTATGATATTCAACATGGTATCTAGAGCCTAACAAGATGAATCTTAATCCGTTTAACTTAGTTCTATTTTCCATAATTTCAATATGGTTATAGAGAGATATCACCCTCCTTGAGGGATTCCCGTTGCTATTTTTTTTCGGGTTTTTCTTAGTATGCTCTGTGACTGCAGCTTAGACTGATCTGTCACATCAGAAAAGAATGATCTTTGGGAAGTTGTTGGGTTGACCACCGTTGTCGTTGACCAACCACCGTTGACCGCGTCGTCCACCGTTGACAGTCGTCTACGGTGACTTTTCTGATGACTTCCGGTGACTTTTTCGGCTCCGCTACTCTCGTGTGTAAGGAAATTTCACAATATTACTGTCTTACCCACTTTTCTATACATCCCTCCAATACAAATTAAACACCTATACTGATTGATGACATGGAAAAGAAAAAAATATATATTAAAAACAAGTGTTTAATTTTCAATGGCAGTAGTATACTATTGTTGTACCAAAGATGAGCTCCGTGTGTAGATTATCTTTCTGAAACTAGCTTAGTTGTTGGCAAAGTTATTTTTAAAATAAAAAAACCTTTAAAAAATAATTATTTCTTCTATATAATCATTTTCCTTGTTCATGCAAATATAATACTTTTCCAATTTAAAGAAAGCTTTTTCTAAGACTTAAAAAAAAAGCTACCTATATATATATATATATATATATATATATATGGGAAATCACTTCTGCTATGAATGCAGAAGTGATTTTCTACTGCCACACACTCATCATCATTTTTTCTTTATTTTTATTTCTATTTTACTTTTTAAAAATGGTGGGGTCCACAATACTTTTGGGTCAGCTGCAAACTCTCAAATTTTGCAGTCTCAGCAGAATTGCAAAGCCCATATATATATATAAGATTGAGTTAATTTTTTTTAAAATTATCATAAAAAAATACTTACATATACTGAAAAAAAAATTATAATAATATTTTTTCTTTATTTTTTATTTTATATAAACAGCTTATGTGTAAATGTTAAATTTTATATATTAACTTGAATCAAAATACATACAAATGTTAAGATTAAAAGCCGAAACACACTAGACTTATATGTAAATGTTAAATTTTGTACATTAACTTAAATCAAAATGCATACAAATTTAATATAAAAAAACAAATTATAATAATATTTTTTCTTTATTTTTTATTTTATATAAACAGCTTATGTGTAAATGTTAAATTTTATATATTAACTTGAATCAAAATACATACAAATGTTAAGATTAAAAGCCGAAACACACTGGACTATATGTAAATGTTAAATTTTGTACATTAACTTAAATCAAAATGCATACAAATTTTAAGATTAAAAGCCGAAACACACTCGGCTGTGCCCCCCTTCTACCAAAAAAAGAAGAAAAAAAAAAGCCGAAACGCACTGGGCTCATATATAGTTATCGAATTTTGAATAAATATTTTATTTCAAGGGATCATTTTTTTATGTTGCGTGAGAAAAAATAATTTTCCAGCAAACACAATTCTTATATAGAATTCACTTTAATTTTTTTTCTCTCCCCTATTCTCTACTCTCTGTTCCTTGTGTGTCTGAAAGATTGTTTTTTTCTTATGCAATATACAAAAAATCCCTTTTATTTCACTTTATAAAATTATAGTTATTTTAAATTAATTTATTTCATAATTAAAAAATTCTATTAAAAACCTTTTTTTTAAATTAACACATCGATAGTTCATAAGACGGGAACTTAATTGTGATATTATATATACACTAACATACACCATACCAAAACCGTAACACAAATGGAAGCAAAAACAAGAATCTAAGCTTACTTTGCATTATTCAAGAAAACGAGGAAGCACTCCTAATTTGTCTAAAATATGAAAAACTAGAAGCGTTACTAATCTTAATCCCAGAAAGAAATCAAGGAGATATAAATCACAATAAAGATTTCGAACAAATGCAGCAATGGAGCAACCAACTCCGTACAAAACCCCCAAAAAAAAAATGTGCTACACTATGGCTTTTGCACCACACTCAACTTATTTGACTTGTAATGCACATTAATGTTTAGCAAAAAAAAAAAATCCCAAGAAATACACAACGCTATCCATTTAGAGATTTACATGAGTTTTGATTCAAATCATGGAACTCGATATACAAAAACAAATATATAAAAAAATGGAAACAAAAATTTGATATAGTGCAGAGAATATAGTGCAACATGACATATGCATATACAGTGTCCATGAAAAAATGATAAAGACGATTTAATGTCCAATAAATGCTAATTTGCTTTTTGTTTTCCTTTTGGAAAATATAATAAACAATAAAGACGATTTACTTTTCCAAGTAGCGTATGCAAGCATGGAAAACATTTAACACTTGCATGATTTAAACCTACAGTTATCAGCCCAATGAATTAATCAATTCTGCAATAAATTAAAATTAAAAATTAATAAAGTTATATGTAATATTTCCCTTAAAGCTATATTGGCCCAATGAATTAATCAATTACGCAAAGAGAAAAATTGGACGTTAAATTAAAAATCAATAAAATTATATCAAATATTTCTCTATGGAAAAAATTTCACAGTTGCATGATTCAAAGCTACCGTTATCAGCCTAATGAATTAATCAATTATGCAATAAATTAAAATTAAAAATCAATAAAATTATATCAAATATTTTCCTTAAAGTTATATTGGCCCAATGAATTAATCAAATAGAAATCAATAAAATTATATCAAATATTTTCCTTAAAGCAAATAGTCTTTATTGTTTATTATATTTTCCAAAAATATAAAATAAAAATAAATCAACATTTATTGAACATTAAATTTGCAGAATTGATTAATTCATTGGGCTGATCATACAACTATTAAATGTTTTCCATGCTTGCATTCGCTATTTGAAAAAGCAAATCGTCTTTATTATTTATTATATTTTTCAAAAAAAAAAAACAAAAAACAAATCAGCATTTATTGGACATTGAATCATTTTTATCGTTTTCTTATGGACACTCCATATGCATATGCCACGTTGCACTATAGTCTATGTACTATTCAGCAACTTTAATCCTCTCTCTCCACGTGTCAAAATGTCACGTAACACGCTTGTACATAAAGGGTGCGCATGACAACGTTTTCGGAATCAATTTTTTTTTTTTTTAATTTCTGTTCCCGGTAATAGAAATGGATAAAAAACTCGTTTGTTAAAATCGGTTTATTTTTTTGTTCTCGGGATGAACCAGATTAATTTTTGTGCTGGGGAACAGACAAAAGAATCAGAAAATTTCTGCTTTTTTGTTTCTGGGCACAAAATGAGAAACATTTATATCTCTTAATCATTCTCCATCTCTACCATCATCACCACCGCCACCATCATCCCAACACGACCACCGCCACCATCGTCGTCGCAGCTGTCGTACCCACCCCCACCACCACGATACCACCGCCACCATCACCACCACCTCTACCCATCACTACCACCATGCCACTATCACCACCACTGTCACCGTCACCACCACCACCAGCATCGCAACCACTGTCTCCACCGCCACCATCGCCATCACCACGCCACTGTCACCACCACCATCGCCACCGCTACCATCACCATCACTGTCACCAACCACCACTATCATTGCTGCAGCCACCACCGACACCGCTGCCGTCGCCACCAACCACCACCACCATTACACCACCCCCACCACCACTATCACCTTCCACCACTGCCACTTACACCACCACCTCCATGATGCCATCACAACCACCACCTTCATGCCACCGCTACCATTGTCACCGCCACCAACCACCATACCCACCACCATTGTCGCAGCCACTGCCATCACCTCCACCATCACCATCCCCACCATTACCACCGCCATCGCCGCAGCCACTGCTGTCACAACCACCACCACTATCATCACCACGTCACTGCCACCACCATCGCCGTACCGCCGCCGCCGCCACCACCATGCCACCCCCCGCCGCCACCACAACCACACTATATGGAAAGGAAAGTGATGATCCGAAATTTTTTTATATTTAATAGAAATTATTTTTTATTATATTATTTATTGTGTTATCAAACACAATTCTCATTCTCGGAATAAAAATAAAACATGTTATCAAATATTTTTTTTTTCTCATAAACTGTTCCAAGGAACATAAATAGAAAAGAATTATTTCTTTTCAGAAATAGTGCTAGGGAATAGAATGGTTGTCATGCACATCCAAAGCGACTTAGGCCTGGACACACTGACTGGTTAAAAAAATGCTAAACTGTTGAGCAAGTTTACATAGCTTTAAACTCTACTGCCACGTGTCTAAACGTAAAACGCCAGATGTTGTAGCGTTTTTGATAACATGATATTTGGCAAAATTTTTAGGGAGCATGGTATTTCGAGAAATTTTTAGCCGTTGTCCGCAAATATATAGGAAAACACAATCCTTTTGCTTTAAAAAATTCAAAAAAATATAAAATTATATTCTTTAAAATGATAAAAAAAATTAATTAAAAATTACAAAACTACTGAATATATGTATCTGAATTAAGTGGGTGGAGAGAGAACCTAACGCTGAGGCTCATTCCTCAAATAAATAATTAAGATTGGTAAAAATTACAACTTATAAAAAGTATTTTTAATCCAAATTAAAAAAAAAATTAAGTAGCAAAAGCAAAAACTTAAAGGGTTTTATAAGAGTTATGTTGCAGGAAAAGTGATTGTGTAATGTTACATAGATTCGTTTTGCGTGCCATAAATTTTTTTTTTTTTGCTTCAAAAAATGTGAGCCCCACAAAATGATGTTGTGTGTGTAGGAAATTTTTTGTGTCATGTGAAATGATAAATGCAAATCCCAAACTTAAAATATGTTATAAAAAAAAAAAAAAAAAGTAAAAAATGTAGTGTTTTTGTAGAACGCAGAAGGAGCAAAGCAGCGAGAAGGAGAAGCGAGGAACACAGTAACTGTTGAAATATCATTCAGCTTATTCATTGAGCAATCTTGAGTTCCCTTTATTCTCTCTTGTAGTGAAGAGTGAAGTGTGAAGAACAATGAGTATGAGGTCGAGAAACTTGAATTCAGTTTTCTATGCGGATTCTTACCATCCGATTCAAGCAGGCAGCATCGACGGCACTGATGTTGTTCCTCACGACAATGCTGTTTATCGTGCTCAACTCTGTTCCTCAATTGGCCTCTGTCTGTATTTGATCTTTCTTTTTTCTACTCTCCTTTTTTTATAAATTTTCTTCGATTTTAAGTTCAAAAATTGAATTTTGCAGATGACCCATTTGGTGATCCTAAGGCCACTGGAGACCCTTATTGCACTCTCTTCGTGGGTCACCTCTCTCGCCTCACCACTGAACATACTCTCCGCAAGGTTAAAGTTTTTTTTTTTCGATTTTTTTTTTTTTTATGTGGGATGCAAATAGAATATGTTCATCTTCCATGTTAGAAGTGTTAAAAGTTAGTAATATTGCCTCTCTTTTTTCTTCATCTGAAAAAAAATTTCCTTGTTTATATGATAAATTCAAATATGTAGAAAATTGTTCCAAATATATTTTAGCTTAGTTAATTTAGATTAATTTTTGCTGAAGAAGGGAAATAAGAAATTAGATTACATGGATAGGGTTCAATTCTGACCCCGTCTCTGCATAAACAATAGATCAGCAAGAGTATGCAACGAACATAAAGCTTATGAGTTCAACAGGAGCATCTGGAACTCAATTACAGTTGAGTAAACTTATGAGTTTTTTCCTGGAAGGAAGGAAGAGAACTTCGTTGGATTTATGGAGGATACTGACAGTTCTCCTGAACTATGTTTAGGATACTGCTGCTACCTCATTTTTATGGCATAAGTAGCTTCTCTGGTGTCTTAATTTGCTACGGAATGTGTGGTTTTTATCTTTCAGGTTATGAATAAGTATGGTCGGGTGAAGAACTTGCGCTTGGTCAGGGACATTGGTATCATTCTTTGGTCTATCTTAGTTCTTAACCCCTCGTTGATTGTCAGTTTATGCCAGTTATTTTCTCCAGCTCTATGTGGATCTCTTTTACATCTTCAAATTATATGCTTTTTGAAACACATCTAGTAGAAATGATATTTCTTATTGAGCGAGCTGGTCAATATGATTTAGTACACTACTTGCTGATTGAGTACTTGTATAATGCTCTGAATTTGACCGTGTTTTTGAAAAAAACTATTTTAGATTCAATGATATGTTTTGTTGTATTTAAGTCATTTTAAGAACTGTGAAATATTTAAGTCTCTCAGGAATCAAGATACTGCTATTTTTAGTATAGTTTTTCCAGTATAATTTGTTTTCCATCTTATTGAAATAATATGGTGCATCTAAATTTTATATGCCTGGGAGCTTATATTATTTCTTTTTTATTTTATTTCTCCACTTGTTTATCAATCATCGACTTTAATCTGGTTCGAGCATGGTCCGACCAATGTAGGAGGTGGCTCTCCCAAGACCATTTTCTCCATTCCCGTGCTCGAATTTTAGACCTCTAGTTAAGGGGAACAAGCTCCTTACCATTTGAATCAGTGATTGTTGGTATTTTTTTTCTTTTATTAAGTTGTTTTATGGTTTGCCCGCATACTGGAAAAGGATCCTTTATTAACTCTTTGTAACTGTTCATTTACCAACAGATATAGCTTTTCCAATTGGGCTATATATGCAGCATCTTGTATAGCCATGTTTTTGTGTTAAGACCCTGCAAATGGTTTGGCAATTTTATGCATTTGTGCTTTTGAATGATATATTGATAATTTCTCTTTTAACCATACATATTATCAAGCTTTGGAATTTAAGTTTTTACATGTGATTTATTTATTTTTGGTTGCAGTGACAGGAGCTTCTCGTGGTTATGCTTTTGTTGAATATGAAACTGAAAGGGAGATGCGACGAGCATATATGGTGCTACAACATGTTAAAACTTTGTCTAATTTGTAGCTTAAAAAAGTGAAGCTTCATGACATGACAAAAAATAAAATCCTATCAAGCCTTATTAACTATCTATCTATATATATAGGGAGCATATCTGGTACTAATGAAATCATCTGGACTTCAGAGCTGGCTTGTAATATGCTTTTTTATGAAATGTTAATGGTACTAATAAGTATTGATTTTTCTCGTTTGCAGGATGCTCATCATTCTTTTATTGATGATTGTGAAATCATAGTTGATTACAACAGACAGCAGTTGATGCCTGGATGGATTCCTAGAAGGTTAGGTCAGTTAAAGTGACTCATTCTTTAAGTTGCATATCTACCCACTGAGCCAGAGCCATCTGATCATTTTCTGTCCTCTTCTACAGGTGGTGGTCTTAGTGGGAAGAAGGAATCAGGACAACTTCGTTTTGGCGGAAGAGAAAAACCATTTCGTGCACCACTGTACAGTTCATTCCTCTTATATCTGCAAACTATATTTTTCCTTATTTCTGAGCAATCTTATAACCTATTTTTCAAAGACATGTGTGACAACCTCTAGTGTGTTAAATTCAAATGAATATTGAAGCATTATGTCAATTGGTTGATTATTAGAGTAAAATGTTTTGTATCCCTCACTTGTACGGAAGGCTGTACTAGGGGGAGTATGTGTCTGCAAAATTTTAAATGTGGCCAATCCCAAGAATCGAGATAAGTCTTGGTTCTTGTTATTTTTTATGATTATTACTATTTTTTTTAATGGAAATTCAAAGCACAGCAATTCAATGTAATTTTTGAAACAAGAGAGGAGATGAGTGTAATTTAGCCAAATCTCACGGGTCAGTATAATTTTCTCAATTATTATAATTTTAAATATTATGGTACTGCGGTATTGCCATGTTTGGTTTCATTTGGTTTTATATTACTTTTATATGATGCACTGATACAAATACTCATACTTATTGGGTCTGAGACTGAACCAGTTTTAATAAGTTCTAATGTAAATTAAGAAGTATCCATGAAACATAGCTGTGTGTGGGATATCATTGACCGTTCATTCTCTACTGATTTAATTTTATCCCAACTGAGGTTTATTTTTTATTTTGTTGTTGAACTAGTTCGGTCTAAAATGAATCCGTTGATAGTGATACAAATATAAAAAGGCAGAAGGATAAGAGGGAGAGTAAGATTGAAATATGAGGCAGTGATGACGGTAATGATTTATATGACTACTATAGGTGTATTGAAGGTTAAAGCGCCATAGGAGGATTGAATGCCTCTGTGGTGGAAGCTATGATTCTCAAAACTGAAAGAACTTGTTTGTATAATTCTTCATTGTAAAAGTTTTGTGAAAAGGTATAAAGCTAGTTAGGGCATTGTAGACAAAAGCATGACATATCTCCATTTACTATTTGACTGTAAGCTATTATACGGCTTATGACACCAGCTTGAATTTGACCTAACAAGTTAACTATCATATCTTAGCTTCTGTTCTTTGACTTGTGGCTTTATTGATTCAGTTATTTCTCTACTATTTAACCAGGAAATCAATCCCATATGAGGAATTGGAGAAGCTTGGCATCCCACCTCCGCCTGAGGGAAGATACATGTCACGCTTTCAGGTGTTGTTTTTTTACCTTTTGAGCATATCCTATTTATATAAAAAGTTGTAAGAACAGCAGATCAATATTAAGTATTTTAAGATATTAAAACGACGAATGACTTTGTTTTTGGTCTAGGATTCTTCATTGTGGGTCATGACACGACGTTTCTCTTTACTTGTTCAAGTGTTGCTTTCAATAAATCGTTAGTTTACTAAAAGTTAGTGTTCCAAACCAAGATTTTGAAATTTACAATTCATTTGTTAATTTTTTTCATTTGTCCATACACATGTACAGGTCCCATCCCCGCCTAGAAGAGAAAGGAACCTTTCAGACAGGGAAGAAGACTCTCATAAAAGGAGTTCTAATGACAGGAAAAGAACAGAAGGTTCCCTCAAAAGTTCAGTGGACATTGAGGAAGGTCACTACAAAAGGAGTTCAAGTCACCGAGAAGACCACTCTCGTCGAAGGAGCTCTTTGGAGAGGAGTGGTGATCGTTACCCTGACAGGAGTTCATCTGAGAAAGAACATCGATACAAGAGTTCTACCAAAAGAGAGAAACATTCCCATAAAAGAAAAGAAAGAGATGAACACACTAGGAGGGAAAAATATAGTCGCCATTCCTCTCACGAGGACTGAGGTCTACAAGTCATTATATCATCCTTCTGTTGTGCCTTTCTGCTTTGTGTGTGTATATATAATGGTATTAATGGGAATGATTGTCGTTCTGTAGGACAAAGCAATTCACACTAATGGTAGTAGGAGTTGTGTGAATAGAATGGTGACTAGGAAACTCCACTTCTCGCTCAGCATGATAGAATTTCATTGCACAAGCTGCAAGTTTAAGCAAAGTTCAATAAAATTTTTAGATATTTTCACTCAGTTTATTGACTAGGCACTATTTTGGCTGTTGAGAAAGTCTACTTTGACTTATATGATTACATAATCAAAACTTGGATAAATTGAATGCGATTGTAGAAGCTAAACAAGAATTGGTTTATGAGGAGAAAAGAGTTGAATATGTTTCTTTATAATCAAACAAAAAAGGAAGTAAACTGCATCTTGAAAAAGCCAACCAAAAAGGCCCTACTTTTTACATGTGAGGGAAATTTGGACCCAATCGATTTTAAGACAGACAAAGATCTTGAATGGTGACTCTGTCTATACCTAAAGAACACGGAAGCAAGAAAACTCAACTAGATAGATATGAAAGGATCAAATGACAAATAGAAGTGTTTTATTTTTAGTACATAAAGATGCAAAAGTTTTACACAGGAAACAGCTAAAACATTTTTACACATACAAAAATATTTCATTACTATAGGATAAAGATATTTCAAGTGATCGATTTTACCATTAATTAAGGTTAAAATAAGACTTTCTCAAGGTGATTTTATTCTAAAATACATATATAAAGATGTATTTAATCTTCAATTTTAGTGAGTTCAAATCACAAAATAGTACTAAATATTTGGCATGAAATGAAAAATTAATTAGTGAATGGTTAACTATGATAAATAAAATAATTAGTGGATAAATTCTGACATCAACGGACGTTACAAGTGAACGATTAATAGGTAAATGTAAGATTAATTATGCAAATTGTAACACGTAGCAAAAAGGAAAGAGTTTATATGCATTCTTCACTTAATAAGTCTAACGTTATTTTTGCCGCAAGTAATTAATATTAGCTGCGCTTAATACCATTACAATGATAACAAACCGGGTCGACGCGGGGTGTTATATCTGACTGGCCTACTATAAAAAACTAAAAAGCCTAACACGGCTTCTAAGGCCTACCAAGTTGCAAACTAAAATTTGTAGGCCCAAACCAAATTAAAATATAAAAGAAAAATTTTTATTCACAAATATCACATGAAATAATATTTTCATTAATAACACATGAAATAGTGCACATAAAGATCATATAAAAATACTCATAAAGATCACATGAAAATTTCATAAAAATAGCATGAAAATTTCATATATGTATATATAGAGAGAGAGGTTATTCTACCTATCTTTGCCTACCACCAGAGGCGGATGGAGGCACATGAGAAGGGGGGCAAGTGCCCACCCTTGAAATATGATGTAAAAATACAAATATACCCTTATCTTAAAATTCAAGTTTTTGAATTTAATTTCAGAATAGGATATTATAACAATTAATTAGGGTTACTACCAATGTTATTACCAATCAATTTCACCGTTAGATCGATTATATTGATCCAACGGTTATATTTATTTTCATCTTTATATGGTTATGATTCCCCATATTTAATACTTTATATTTATTTTCACCTTTGTATGGTTATGATTTCTCATATTTAATGCTTTTACATTAAATATGGGGATCATAACCATACAAAGATAGAAATAAATATAACTATTGGATCAACATAATCTATCTAACGGTGAAATTGATTGGTAGTAACCCTAGTTGGTTGTTACGATATCCTGCCCTTTAATTTTCCTCATTCTCTTTAATTTTCCCGTGAATTTTTTCTTCTTCTCCACCTTCATTATCCAAACCTAACAGAGACCTTTGTTCCAGACCCATTATTTGCATATACATACTGATTCATCTCCTCTCAAACCTCAATCTCCGTTATTGGAAGTTGAAACATTTGCATCTTCCTCCATTATCGGTCCAGTTGAGTCACAATCCGTCCAGATCTAGATCTAAACCAGACCCAGTCAAATAAGGCAGCTCGATCAAGTTTATCACGGGAGATCTGTCTAGTATCAGCAAATCGATTCTTCAATAAGGCAGCTCGATCAACTTTATCACGGGAGATCTGTCTCTCAGTTGTATCACATCCTCCTACAATATTTTTTTTTTTTTGGTGGATGACATCCTCCTACAAATTTAATAAGACAATGGGCTTCTAGGGATCAAATATAACAATAGAAAAATGTCATCAATAATCCATGCACTCTTACCATCTTGATGGCTATAAGAGTGAAAAGAACGTAGCTTTTGCTGAGAGTCATCCTCAAGTTTATCCGAGCCACTAACATATTCTGTAAGAAATAAATACAGCAATAACCATGAAATTTAAACTTGAACAATATGAAAGGCAGAGCAAAAAAAATTCAATGCAAGCAAGTATGGAAACGTAAGTTTATGACGAGTCTAATAATATTAGCCAAGTAATAGTCACTATTTTTAGTCTGAGAATGCTACATCAAATAAAAATATGTTCTTTCAAATCACTTTTTGCGAATGCTACTCAAATTTTATTCAAGTTTGATGATACATAAGATAAAAAAGAAGCAAATCATACATTAAGAAGCCATGCAGAAGAAGCAAATCATACAAAAACAGGAGACAAACAATGGGAGGGAAAACTTAAATTTGGCATGAAATGAATAATTAATTAGTGAATGGTTAATTATGATAAATAAAATAATTAGTGGATAAATTCTGATATCAACGGACATTACAAGTGAACGATTAATAGGTAAATGTAAGATTAATTATGCAAATTGTAACACGTAGGAAAAAGGAAAGAGTTTATCCGCATTTTTCACTTAATAAGTCTAACGTTGTTTCCGCCGCAAGTAATTAATATTAGCTGCGCTTAATACCAATAACAAACCGGGTCAACGCGGGGTGTTACATTTGACTGGCCTACTATAGAAAACTAAAAAGCCTAACACAAGTTGCAAACTAAAATTTGTAGGCCCAAACCAAATTAAAATATAAAAGAAAAAATTTTATTCACAAAGATCACATGAAATAATATTTTCATTAATAACACATGAAATAATGCAAATAAAGATCACATGAAAATTTCATAAAAAACACATGAAAATTTCATATATGTATATAGAGAGAGGTCATTCTACCTACCTCTCTTTCTGCCTATCTTTGCCTACCACTCTCCAAAAAAGTAGATAGAATAACCTATATCTTTATTATTTTTTAAAGCGATAATTTTTTATTTATTTAATTTTTATACTTTTAATTTATTTTTTAAATATGTTATCTTATTCTACAAATTTTCTGAAAGAGAAAAACTAACCGCCACGTACATAGGACACGAAACACGACACGATATGACACTCCGACATGATAATTCTGAAAATTATTATATTTCAATACGTTAGGACATGTTTTGATATTAAATAATAATTTTATTTTATGTAGTGTATATTATATTTAATATTCAATAATTTAACAAAAAAATGAAGTTAAACTTATAATACCCATCATTTTTGTAAAGAAATATAAAATATCTCAAATATTTATATTAAACTCAATAAAATAGTAATTCTATAATTTTTGCATAGTGTGGCTGTACTTGCGAATGTTTATGAAGTTCGGACGCTTCAAAAAACATATAAATTTTGTTTCATGTTTATATCGGTGTCCATTTTCTCTCAATATAAAGTGAATTTTTTTTTTCCGTGCATCGCACGGGTAATGCACTAATTTTATTGAAAGTTATACACTTGTTATATATGTTTGTCTTGTGGTTTTCGCTAAAAAAAAAATTACATTGGACAACTAATAAATTGTAAATATTTTTTGACTTATAATTTCAAAGTTTATTTTGATTTGATGAAGAAAGTGAATGAAAAATTAGGATGAAAAATAAAATAAAAAATGAGATGTTTCCAAATCCCTGTAAAGAAAAAAAATAAAATAAGACAGGTATTGTGTCTTAGCTTTTAATCCTATCATTTCGTATATTTTGATTTAAGATTATATACAAAATTTAATAGTTACATATAAGCTGTTTATATAAAATAAAAATAAAAATAAAAATAAAGAAAAGAAATATTATTTTGTTATAAATAATTTATTGGTTGTCCAATAACCGTTATGACTGTTGGAGACGTTATGGCTGTTGGAGACATTATGGCTATTGGAGAATAATTTCAGTTATCGTAGCTTTCATGTTTTCCGAACCTATAAATAAGGCATCATTGTAGTGTGACAATACAACCCGAATACGTTCCATTGTAATGTGACAATACAACACATTATCAGCACGAGACCAGAGCTATAGTCGGCAGTCGTAGCCATCACAGTCGAGATCACATTCGAGATCAAGTTAAGTCTTCGCAGCGTTCATCAGTTAAATCTCCTTTAATATCTCCTCCTCGTTCACGTTTGAGATCAAGGTCCCGTTCTTTATCAGGTTGGTATTATGCTAATGGCCGGTTCACCAAGGTACGCACAATCTTAATTTTGATTTTTGATTTCATATTGTCTTGTATTTTATAATTATATACAAGATTTAGGGTTAAAATAATTCTATCATTTGGTATCAGAGCCACATATATATGATTATAAAAGTCATGCTCTTGAATCAAAGAAATTGAAGTTTTTTTTATAAAGGTCGAAACTTTATGTATTAATTCATAAGTTTATTTTTTGTTCAATTGATTAAGAATGTTTTTGTTTTTACATAGTAAGATCTCTCAAATTTTAGGGCTAATATATGATTATAAAATCCATGTTTTTGAATCAAAGAAATTGAAGTTTTTTTTTATAAAGGTCGAAACTTTATGTATTAATTCATGTTTTTGTTTTACATATTAAGATCTCTCAAATTTTAGGGTATAATATATATATATATATATATATATATATATATATATATATATATATATATATATATATATAGGGATAGGATATTGTGACACCCAAGTTATGTGACACCCAAGTTATGTGACACTCAGTCAATCTCACCGTTAGATCGTTTATGTTGATCCAACGGTTATATTTATTTCCATCTTTGTATGGTCATGATTTCTTAAATTTAATATTTAATATTTATTTCTACCTTTGTA